TAAATATATGACGGAAGGAAGTATTGAAGGAGTAATGACAGCTGCTTTGTCTGCTATTTAAAGACAAGGTCAGGAGAGCTTGCTTTTCAGAATATTGAATAATTGCTCTTATTAAAATGTCTTTCACAGTAATAGATTAGAAAATTTTCCTTGTGTAACTATTGAAACTAACCTAAATGGTTTTCAACACTAATGCTAGTTAGAAATAAACTCGGCTGCCTAAGAAAAACTAGCAGCTCAAGATCACTGTCCACAGAGTATAGAAAAAGGGAATAGGTTGAATAATTTTTATTGGAAGAATAGTGGGTGGGAGAGAAAAAGGACTGTTGGAAAAACGATTTGAGGAAAAGGGGAAAAAAAGATTGGAGAAGAGACTCAAAATATGAAGAAATAACTATACTGCATTGGAAAGAGTTAATTTGTTTTCAGATTAAAAAACACCCGAACCATTATTTATGATAAAAATGTAAGCAACAGCCCCAACAAGAGGCATCAAGGGGGGCTTTTTCAGTGGTATGCTATAAATGTTTAACGGGGTCTTTGGCGAAAACATTGACTAGAGGCGCTTGCCAATTTCCCTGGTGAAAATACTCCCACCGTGGTCAATTTTAAGCTACTAACGTGTGTCACTGAGCACGAAGTGAGAAGAGTTGTACTCAGTTGACTCTCATGAGCTAGTGTGAGCCAACTCTAGCACATTGCTGCTTTTTTTTTTGCATTTCAAATGTTTCTTCACTTATTAAAAATAGATGTAAAAGGTCTAAATGCATCTTTGAAATATCTGACTCCAAACTATATGCTGCTTTTGTAACAGTTGTTCAGTCAGAATTAAGTTTACTTTATTTTCAAAGCAGCTCTGTGGTTAAGCACGTGAAGTCTGAAGGCAGAGAGCAAGAGTTCAAACCTGGCTGCTGCATTGCCCAGCTCTGTGACTGTGGCAGTTATTTAAGGTCTCTTTGCATTAGTTCTCTCATCTTCAAGGTGGAGATGATGACAAGGTTGGCATGAAGGTTAAGTCATTGATAAAGGAACTGAACTTAGAATAGGGCTTAGCACATTGTGAATGCTCAGTTTGAGTCTGGCTAGATTTTTCATCTATTCACCAGTGGCTTAGTGATGTTGAGGGACGAGATAACATAAGAATGGTCCTATTTAAAATGGCTGTTTACGCAAGGGAAGTTGGACCAGGAAGGGAAGGCAAAATACTTCCAATCACCAGAAGTCTATCTACTTAAGAGGGCTTAGGTGGGGTTATTTTACTTAATATTCAAGAAAAGTTGTGTTCTATGTTCTTTTTCCCCTTCTGGAGTATAAATTTAGCACATTTCTGTCTTTTCATGTCCCATTTTGGGGGCTGATAATGCTGCTGGATGTGTCTGTTCCAGATCACCATCTGTTAGAACTTCTCACATACACTCCTCATGTATTTCAAGTAGAATTTTTTAAAAAAATGCCTTAAGACATACTAATATATCTTTAAGATCCTTAATTTTTCCATATTTTTTTCTCGGTGCAGAATTAGTCTCTACTGCTGCCCTTCTGTTGTGATCATGAACACATGCAGCAGACTTGAGTTACTCTGGTCATTCTTCTGTCACAAGTTCCCATACAAAGGCCAGTCACAATTCTAAGATCCTTCTTTTTAGGCAGTTAGCACCTATTAAGAGCCCCAGTCCACAATACAGAATGTTAAGCAATGTGGCTGATTCAAAGATAAGTAAAATGCCCTCATTTCCTGACTCTCAATTAGCTTAGAAACAAGTAAAAGAGGCTTCTGTTTACACAAATAATAAAAGGAAATAGACACCAGGAGGGGAGGAGAAAAATGGTGGACATATGTTGCCTGGAAAAATAACCAGCTTCTAAGATTCCAAATTGAAAGTTGTGTTTTCTCTAAGTCTTATCATAAACTTGTTTAATTAGAATGACTACCTTGAAATCTAGGATGGTGGTGAATTTAGCCAGAGGAAGGATCATTTTAAAATAAATGATATGACCAATGCACTTCAGAAATCCTTGTAGATGGCAAATGAGTACCGTACCACACTGAGACTGCCTTCTCCCTTGCTATCACACTCTCTCCTAGTTTCTGATTACTTTGCGGACTCCTCAGCAAGTTTTTCTTCCTCTATGCATCTTTCAGATGTTGATTCGCAGAAGGCAAGACATGTAGTAAGTCCTCCAAAATATTTGTTTGATGGAAGCATTGAGGATGAATCCTTAATTTGGTAACATACAAATTTTGCTAATTGGGAAAATTAGTAATTTTTTTGGGCTCTCTGAGATTGAATTAAATGATTACCTGGAACCACAAGGAGTTAAAAGAGAAAAGCAGCAGCTAAGTTGATGCTCTCTCCAAGTTTTAGGCAGAAGTAAAAGGCAATTCAAAGCTTTAAGAAGAAGTTTGACTGCCTACAATACTGGTTTTTGAATTGATTTTGGAAACCACATATCCTAAGGGTATTTAGGATTAGTAAATTCTCCACATGAGTTTGCTCTCTATTGGGAAAATCCAAATTATTTGACTGCAGGGATTTTAGACTGCAGGTCTCAGGGAACTGAAATCATTACATTTTAAAGTCAGAATTCATGTGGGGAGAAGATGGAGGGAAGCTGTCCTAATCTACCTGAAGGACAAGATGCAGGCATGCACACCTTAGTTTCTTTCTTCTATGGGCAATTAAGAAAAGACCAAAATAATTATCAAAAGTAAGTCCTGAGTAGGATAGAAAATTTAAGGGCAGTTAATATTGACATCCTCTCTTATTTGATGTTGATGTTATAACTGAACTGAAATTTATGAGGACATAGTTCAGCTAGGTATGCAATTTGAAGTTTTGTTGTTGAAAGGGTTATTCTTTGTTTTTCATTGTTATCTAATTCACATTTAAGCAAATAGTGATAAAGTTACTATGGCCCAGCAGCCTTTGTGGAAAAATAAAAATATGTTGAACTTTCAGAACAAAATCCGAATGGTTCATTGACTTTGTTTCACCATGGAAAAATCACTTAACCTCCCAGTGTCAGTTTACCCATCTGTGAAATGAGAAGGATAATATTTTCTTATGGGGATGTTTTGAAAATTATTTTGCAAATGTAGTGGATGAAATTGTTGCAAGCATCACTGCTCTTTTTCCACTTCTTTAAAGAAGCAGACAGTATTATTTATGTACCAGTTGATAGTCAAATTGTCATCTGGAATGAATTATGTATATTTATTAACAGTTGTATGCTTTTTATTACTTAAAAAAACAGTCCTCCCCCAGATTGCTGAATTTATGCATTATGTCAATACCTGGGAACCTGAGCAAAGTATCTTAAAATCATTCTGAGCTTCATATTTATGAGCTGTTAATCCCATCTCTCTGGTAATTATTCCTTCTTTCTGTTGTAGCTCATGTTTTCTCTGATGTGGTTTCTTGCCTCACCTCACTTCACAAGATTGATAGTTCTCCATGTTTCCCTGCCAGAGGTCACCTCTGAGCTGAAGGCAAAACACAGCCCACTCTGGCTCCTGTTGACTTTCAAGTCAACTATCAAAGAATTTAGTCCAGACATCTCCTAACCTCAATTTAAAAACTCCACCCTAAAGATTACAGGGAGATATCCTGGGGAGTTGCCATAGTGACTCTAAGAGGTTGGCATCAAGGAGACAAAGCTACTGATACCAGATTTTTAGACTTGATAGACTTAATTATGTAACGTTGTCATGAACCTCTGTGCTTGTGTCATTTAGGTCTGGAAGGAAATTTTCCCCTTCAGGCTTTTCTGTATCTTATGGTGCCAATCAACAGGCTTCTTGGTAATAAGATTCTTTATGCCAATAGCTCCCATATAACCTCAAGTGGTGCTTGTAGTAGTGATAGAATCATTACAAAACTAAAGAAGAAAAGGGAAATATATTTCATGGGTGTGATTAAGTCATCATAATGTTCTTGCATATGTAAATTATCCTTGACTTAATGAACTATCTTGCTCACATAATAGTATTATAACCTGGCTCTAGAAAGTCATTTTTTACGTATGTTGATAATTGGTACCAGACTTGGCAGAGCTCATCTCCAGCTCATCTTGCTGAGTGAAATTTATGCATTACATTTCCGTGTGCATGAATTTTGTTTCAACTATTAGAAGTGCTCTTATTGAGTAAAGTTATTACATGAATTACTTTAATAAATTAGTATGATACTTAGGAAGATGGAAAACTTGATTATATTCTAATGATATCCAAATTGACAAAGATCATTTAAAAATCTGTTTTTTCTTGGTTATTAAAAAAGTATAGATTCATTGGAGAAAATCAGGAAACCACAGAAAGGAATAAAGAAGAATATTATTTCTGTCTCCTGGGTTAGAGTAATCACTTTAAGATTTTGATGGATATTCTACAAGATGAACGCTTTTTGAAGAATACTTATGTTGTTTTCTCCAATACATTTTGTATTTCTAAAAACAGCTACATGTACAAGAAACCCTGGTGAAATAGGATTCTTTTTTTATTTCTTTTTTCAGAAATTGAATCTAAAGTTCTGGTATTCATATTTCATAGACTTTATTCAAGATGATAAAAGCTACCGGGAAAGTATTTTATGTATTTTCTCTGTTTCTTTGGAGGGTTCAATTTATCCAAAATTATTCCAGTTCCTTATCTTCAAAGATGACCCAGGTCTAACCCTATATAATTAATGCACGGCCAAGGGAAATTAATGATAATCATGTTACTATTTGAACATAAATCCTTATGTGTGCCTAGGAAGAAATGAAGCTTTTCTGGAACATGTAAGGTTGTTTAAAGATGTCCTAATGTTATGTCAAAACTGTTGTCCTCTGATTAAAGATTTTCAATTATTTTTCTGTCTTTTTGTAATGTATAGTTTTGCTCTTGTTGTTGGTTGGTTTAAATTTTATTTAGAGTGAGAAGTTAAGTCCAGTGTAGCTCTTTGGAAGTTAATCATTTTATAACTTTCATTTAATCAACATTTTCTTTAATCCCCTTTTAGGCAGCCAAGGGCAGTTTCCACTAACACAGAATGTAACGGTTGTTGAAGGCGGAACTGCAATTTTGACCTGCAGGGTTGATCAAAATGATAACACCTCCCTCCAGTGGTCAAATCCAGCTCAACAGACGCTGTACTTTGATGACAAGAAAGGTGAATACATTTTCTTTTAAATGTTTTAATCATATTCTAAAATATCCTAATTATAATGAATTTATTTTTCTGAGATGATTCAAATTATTCCTTTTGATTACCAAACTGCTGCTGCTTGTAGTGAAACATGTTAAATATTAAATACTTTCGTTTGCAAGTCATAAACACTAAAGATAACCTATGCCAACTTTTTAATAAAATAAACAGTTCTAATTCTGTTTCAAAAATAGTTTCACGCCTTCTCTGAACAATCACCTTCTCTCTGGATGCCAGATCCTTTCGTTCTTGTATCTGCCTTGTGTACAGACGGAATGTTTTCCTCACTCCTGGCAATAGGATGTGTTATTTTTATTAAACTTTGTTTAATATATTTAGAAGATGCTATATGATTTTGGAAAGTTTTGCCATTTTATTCTCATGAATTGGGTTTGAAAGTGAAAATTGTAGAAATGATTCCCATAATAAGTTTAAATAACTCCATGTTTCCAAAATAAACTGAAATTAAGTAAGAAGCTGTACTTACTTCAACTTCAGCTGGATATCATTGAATTACTGAGCTTTCTAATTGGATGAGAAATTTTGATTAAACTTTTTTGGTGAAGTAAGGAAATTGATATTATATAATTGAAGCAAACAACTAAAAATGTACACTGAGTTTCTAAGCCTTCATCCATTGTTATAATTTTTTGGGGGGAAAGTAAGTTCATGAACTGTAATGAAAATATGGAGCTGTTGCTTTAGTTAAAATTTAAATAATATAAGATATGAATATCTATTTTTATATTAGCTATTCAGCATAGTCCTAATATCTGGATTTCTTATGAATCTGTATAGATAACAGTAAAATAATTTGAAATCAGTGTAGTCAAAGTAATTAAAGTGTAGTCAAAGTAGTCCAATAAATGTGCCCATTCCACCTCAAATATGAATTCACCATATTTTGTGCATTGCTATGGTTTTTCCTCTTTGATGTACTATATATTTAAAATGAAATCTTTAGTGTATTTTAAACTTTGATATATGATGCACGATTGATTAGAAATACTTGTACAAGGCATTAGAGTTAGGGAACAGACAGGTAAAATCCCTACCCTTACAGGACGTATAGTCTAGCAGGGAAGACAGACAATAAACAAACACATGAACACAATATATTCTAGAGTATGTTGGTAGGGGGCAAATGTTCTCTCTCTCTCTCTAGAGAGACAGATGACTGATCGGTAGATAGATGAAAGATGGATATTGACAGAGAGATTTTTAAGAAATTGGTTCAAGTGATTGTGGAGGCTGGCAAGTCTGTAATCTATAGGGCAGACCAGCAGACTAGAGACCCAGGGAAGAGTCAATATTGCAGCTCAAATCTGAAGGCAATCTGGAGGCAGGATCCCTTCTTGGCTGGACCTCAATCTTTTTCTCTTATGGATGATTCTCTCTTAACTGATTGAATGAGGCTCACTCACATTATGCACGATAATCTGCTTTACCCAAAGTCTACCGATTTAAATGTAATCTCATCTAAAAATACCTTCACAGCAACATCCAGACTGGTGCTTGATCAAATACCTTGGTACCATCGCCTAATTAGTTGACACATAAAATTAACCATTGAGGGTAGGAATGCTGACATTTCTGTTGAACTTCATTATTTAAACTTCATTTACACTGTTTTATTTTGCTATCTGGGAGACAACAGAAGAGATCACTAATGGTCACATTTTTATAGGAGCATATGGGAGGAAGGGGTTGAAGTTCTCACAGTTAGGTGAGACTTTAAGCCAAGATTGTGACTTCAATATTGGCCAGACTTAAGGCCAATATTGTGATTCTATATTTGTGTTTTGATCAGTGTTTGATATGTAATCATTCACATTTAACAAGACTTCCTAACACAGAGATTTTTTTTTTTGCACTTCAAGAATGTTTTAGAGTCTGAAAATGGTTTTAAAACATTCATCTGCTAAACATTCACTAAAGCATTATTAATACAATTTTAATCCTTATTAGCATTATTGATTATTTAATGCTTCTGATTAAGGGCTTTTTTATCACATCATAGAAAGTTTTAAACATACTTATGAGATTATAAAGTGTCTCTTTGCACTATGAGAAATAACTAAGGAATATCTAATGTGATATTTTTAAGCCTTTTTAAAGAAAGGGTATTATTCAAGAGTAAAAAGTTGATTTTATTAATTTATTAACTGCTTTAAAATTTCACAAATATGACCCACATAAACTAGTTTATATTTCAGAGGTGTTTGATGGCTATGAAAGATTTGTAAGCAGAAAGTGAAGTTTGAAGATTTCTTTTGATTTCCTTGGTTTCTAACAAAAATATATCAAAGTTTTATCATGCTAATATTATGTAAGCTGTATGTTTTGATCTTAAATTTACTAGTGATTTTGGAGTAGAGAAGGCACATCTCCTAAAAAAAAAATATTCTAGTGTTTACTTTTCTTTGCTCCTTCATGGTGTTTGGAGTTTGTTGTTGTTTTAAATCAGGTTATCTATGTTGCTTTTCAAAGAATGAAGTTCTAGTAATTAAATAAAACTAAACACATAAGCAAAAAGTCACACACAGGAATTTGACAACCTCTTTTTGCTTTTAGTGTTAATTGATTACAAGTATTTATAAATAAACATTTAAAACCTTTATGTCCACATACAAGGTGACTCCAATTTTAAGGAAATCTCTCATTTTTCCAATGGTCTAACACAAAACAAAATGTTTTGGGGAACAACAGACTTTTAGGAATGTTCATGGCACAATTTAATATATAGTTAGACCATCAAATTTGTCTGATTATATGTACATATTTAAACAAATATAAAAACATGTATTAATTGAGAAATATTGCTTATTTCTATCCCTCCATTTAATAAAATAATCTTGCTTAGCAGCACTTTTTTGAAAATGTAAGATACGATCGATGAGAAATTTCTCTTAAGCAGTAACTGTAAATTTTTATAGCATTAGAACAATTTTTTTGCTCCACCTTCATCCTATCAGAGTATAACAGTGATCTCCACTATGTAACAACTTCCTGGACTGCTTTTGAAGGAGATCTTTGAGGTCGTGTTTGCAGTGACACCTACAGTTGTGAGGTCAAATCCTCAGGCACAAAAACACAATCTGTATGAAATGTCGTTGCTTCCTCTTTTAGTCATTCCATACGTTATCCTCTGTCGAACACGTAAAACTAGAATTGATTCAGGGTATTTCAAGCCAGTGCATCTCTCCGGTAGAAAATAGAGAGCAACTTGTAATATGAGATTTGCAAAGACTCGGAAATAAGGAAGCTCCTCTTTTCTGAGGGATAATTGTGGTGAGAAAAACCCATCATGTTATATTTAGGATATTTAGCAATATATTCCTGCGTCTTTACAAAATACCAAATACATCTGATCATATGAACTATTGAAGTATGCATTTGCTTTATTTCATTTTTCCTTTCCCAATTGCTATAATAGTTTAGAGTTACATTGAAAAAAGCCAGTGTGTGTGTGTGTATATATAGTATAGCAGATTTCTGTTTTTGATGTTAGACTTTTTCTAACTCTATTGTGGTTCTAATTGTCAGTTGCAACAGAATAACGAAAAGTACTGAATAAAGATACCCTTTCATGAACGGCAACCTAACATGTCTGTTCCCTCACAAGTCAATGGTTTGGTTCCTATGTGAAGCTGCAGCCGAATGGATCCTTGACAATGATGTACGTCGAATGCAAGTGTTTGAAAATGAAAGCATTTTTTGCAGTTTCCATATCACAATTTTTCCCACACTGTCTTTTTGCCTGCCTTTGCCTGCCTAGCCCTCCTCAATCCTAAGGCTTATCTCCAGCAAACAAACATGCTACATTGTGCCAGTGCCTAAGTGAGGAAGCTAAGCATGGGTTAGCATGACTAGAGAAGCCTGTGCGTGTTGTGCAGGCGACAACTGCTCAGGAGAACAATAGAGAAAACGAGTGGGTTGTCTGTGTCACTGATTGCACCAGCTTCTACAGGTGGCTAAGGTTTCATCTGCAGCACTATTCTTATTTCTGTCTCAGATTATGTTGCCAGTTCTTGGGAGCTTTCCAGACAGAGTCTTTCAGGGGTATGCAGGATCACAGTGTTTTAATTGTGTTTCAAATGATTATAAAATGCAGCTGAGGTTGAGAAGCTTTGGGTTAAGCAAGTCAATTCTCACAAGAATTTTATATCCTTAAACTTAGATTTCTGTGCTGGCCTAGGTTATTGAGAAGGACAGAAAGAAAGGGAGGGAAGGAGGGAGGAAGGAAGGAAGGAAAGAAAGCTGCCCAGAACAGAACCAGAGCTTCTCGTTAATGTTGCTGCTGCCACTATGAGCTCAGAGAAGCTTTCTGAGTAGCCTTTCGCGCTACTTGGAGATGCGGGTCTCCAAGGGTCCTGGCTGTGAAGATTGAACAAAGAACTCAGGATGGCGGCCCATTGGTCCAGTTAGAATTGGAAAAGCCTTTCATGTTTACCTGGAGTTGTTAGCTAAAGAAAAGCCACGCAGTGAATAGGCTGCTGATGATCAGCCAAAGGAGAATTCAACTGAACCCCTCTCCGAAGGAGTTTGTGAAAATTCAGGAATCTCTTCACAAGGACAAGGGCGATAGGTGTCTGGGGAGAATTGGCTAGAGCGAAACTAATATTGTAATATTTTTCATTCAGGTATAACAAAGGACAGTGAATTTGGGCTTTGCTACCTTAAGCACATTTAATGTGATCAGTAGCTTTCCCCACTTAGAAATAGAGAAATTGAGGATCAAACACTTGAAGAAATTTGTCCAAATACATTCAGCTAATGACTGGTAATGAAGGGATTTGAATCCAGGTGTGGCCTCTGTGTTAGTTTTAACCAGAATGCCCCTGAGAACAAAGGTGTCTGGGCCCTAGGTCACTTTAACTGTAACCCAAGTGGCCTCTGCCATTGATCTTTTAATTAATGCAGCTGCCTTTTAGTTAAACTGCTGAAGACATACATAAAGTAAG